AAACATAAATCCACACACTATGGACACCCGACTTTTGACAAATAAGCCAGAAATATGCACTGGAGAAAAGACAGCATCTTCAGTAAGTGGTTCTAGCCAAACTGGATGGCTACATATAGAGAAATGCAAACATTAATTTTTATCAGCCTGTGTAAAACTCAATTCAAATGGACCAAAGATCTCAACATATGATCAAATATCCTGAATCTGATAGAACAGAATGTGGTAAATAGGCTTAGATTCATTGTCACAAGGAAAGGCTATCTAAACAGAACACCAAGACACAGGCTCTAAGATCAATAGTAATTAAAATTATAAATGGGACCTCATGAAACTGAAAACCTTCTGTACAACAAAGAGTACCATCATTTGGTCAAAGTGTTAGGCTACATAATAAAAAAAAACTTAACCACTTACACAGCTCTGATAGAGATTTAACATCTAAAATATATTAAGAACTAAAAAAAACTGGACATAAATAAAACAAATAACCCAATTTAAAAATCAGGTACAGAACTAAGCAGAGAGTTCTCAAAAGACAAAATACAAGTGACTGAGAAACAAATGTTCAACATCCTTAGCCATTATAGAAAAATGCAAATCAAAGTTCCCTTGAGAGTTCATCTTATGCCAGTCAAAATGGCCAAGATGAGTAAAATAAATGACAGCTCATGCTGGTGGGGGTGGGGAAAGGGGAACTCACCCATTGCTGATGAGAAAGCAAACGTGTACAGTCGCTATGGAAACTGGTGTGGCAGTTTCTTGGGAAGAAAGGAATAGATCTACCCCAAGATCCAGCTATATCACTTGTCTTAGTTAGGGTTAGTATTGCTGTGATGTAACACCATTAACAAAGCAACTTGGGGAGAAAACAACTTATTTGGCTTACACTTCCATATCTCTGTTCATCACTGAAGGAAGTCAGGACAGGAACTCAAAGAGAGCAGGAACCTGGAACTAGGAGCTGATACAGAGGCATGGAGGGGTGCTGCTTACTGGCTTGCTCTCACGACTTTCTCAGCCTGCTTTCTTATGGAACCCATGACCACTAGACCAGGAGTAGTAGTAGCCAATGGACTGGGCCCTCCTCCATCAATCACTAGTTAAGAAAATGCCTTACAGCTGGATCTTACAGGGGAATTTTCTCAGTTGAGGTTCTCTCCTCTCAGCTGACTAGAGCCTGTGTGAAGCTGACATAAAACAACCTGGCACAGCGGACACAGAAACACATCATCATTGAACCTCATCATTCCTTTCTTGGTCATCCCCAAGATCACACAAGACGAAATAACAAAGACATCACAGTACAAAATTCTAAGACTTAAAAATATCCCACAGCCGTCCAAATTCAGACACTTTAAAAATTGTCTCTGTAAAAAATATCTAATCTTTTACAATTCAAAAATCTCCACAGCCTCTAAAAAAAAAATCTTCGTTTTAAAAGCTTAAAGTCTCTCAACCCTGGACTCCTGTAAAATCAAAAATAAACCAAAGACTTTCTTACCTCAAGAGGGAAGAACCAAGGCACAACCAAAATCTAAACAAAGCAAAACCAAACTCCAGCAGGGTAAATAATTCAATGCCCAGTGTCTAGGATCCACTCACAATCTTTGGGATCCCCCAAAGAGCTTGGGTCAGTTTTCCAGCTCATCTGCTCTCTGAAGCACACACAGCTTGACTTCTACGCTCCAGCAGGCTCCACTCCATGGCTGCTGCTGTTCTTGGGAGGTGTCCCATGATTCTGGCATCTGCTGCAACTGGGCTACACTTTCAACAATAGCCTCTCCTGGGCTGTTTTCAGGGTGTCAAGCTTCAACTTCTCGTCATGGCCCCTTCAACCCTGAGGCTCTCATAGTGATCACCATGACCCCTTCATGCCTTTAAAGCCAGTGCCACCTGGGAGACTCTTACACAGGATCAAGTTTGGTTGCCGGAACAAGTCACAACCTAGATCACCTCCAGAACACTTTCAGAAAACACTTCCTAGAAGACTTCACCTTAGCAATGCTGATCTCTTCTTAATCACAGCTAATTCTTCAGCCCCCACTGATGGACATCAACGGTCCCAGCAAAGTAGTGATTCTCTGGTCAATCACAGCTGATTATTCCACTTCAGCTGACCAGACACCAGATTCTTCAGGCAAAATGTCTGGGGGAATCTCTGCTTCCTGACACTCCATAAGCCAGGCCTCCATCATTTGCTTTGCTTTCAACATTCTCCCATCTCCTGCATCTCAATAAGTTCTCAACACTCAATGACTTTACTATCCCAAAGATTCCAAAGTCTTTCCACAGCCTCCTCATAGCAGCATGGCCAGGTCTGTCACAGCAGTACCCCACAATCCTGGTACCAAGTTTTTTGTTTTGGTTTGGTTTGTTTTGTTGTTGTTGTTGTTGTTGTTTTGATTTTCGAGACAGGGTTTCTCCATAGCTTTTTGGTTCCTGTCCTGGAACTAGCTCTTGTAGACCAGGCTGGCCTCGAACTCATAGAGATCCGCCTGCCTCTGCCTCCTGAGTGCTGGGATTAAAGGTATGCACCACCACTGCCCGGCCCTGGTACCAAGTTTTGTCAGGGTTTCTACTGCTGTGGTGAAACATCTTGGCCAAAGCAGCTCATGGAGGAAAGGGTTTGTCTGGCTTTCCTCTCAAGTTGCTTAGAGAATACTTCCACCTGGGCGAGTGATTCTGGGTTCTATAGCCTGAGCAAGCCATGAGGAGCAAGCAATAAGCAGCACTCCTCCATGGCTTCTGCATCAGCTCCTGCCTCCAAGACCCTGTGCTGCTTGAATTCCTGACCTGATTTCCCTGGATAATGTATAGTGATGTGGAAGTGTAAGACAAATAAACCCTTTCCTGCCCAAGTTGCTTTGGTTAGAGTGTTTCATCACAGCAATAGTAACCCTAACTAGGACACCCATCAATCACTCATTAAGAAAATGTCCTACAGGCTCACCTACAACCCAACCTTATGGAAGCATTTTCTCAACTGAGGTTTCCTCCTCTCAGATGACAACAGCTTGTATCAAGGTGACATAAAACTAGTCAGAGCATACCCTGGGCATATACCCAAAGGATTCTATACCTTACTACAGAGACACTTCCTTATCTACGTTCATTGCTACTCTATTTTTAATAGTCAGACATTGGAAACAGCCTAGATGTCTATCATCGATTAATGGACAATGAAAACGTGGTATGTTTGCACAATGTAATATTAGCCAGCTGTTTAAAAAAAACAATGGAATTCACAGGTAGATTAATAGAGCTAGAAAAAAACATCCTGATTGAGTTAACCCATACTCCAAAAGAAAAATATGGTATGTATTCACTTATATGTGGATGTTAACTTTTAAGCCTTCAATAGACATGCTATAAACCCTATAACCTCAGAGGTTAGTTACACAGTGAGGGACTAGTGAGGAGGGAAGGATCTCCCAAGGAAGAGGAAATAGAATATATAGTTAGGAGTGTCTTATTGTCTTAGGGTTCCTGTCGACTTTCAAACAACTCAAGCTGTTGTCAAGGCTACTGGCTGCTCTTCGCAAAATGGCCCTGTTGATGAAGACAACACTTCCATATCTCACTGAACATGGAGAAGTGGAACAGGTGCCTACCTAGAGCCTTCACTCCTACTGACTAGTGTCCAACCCAGCTACACATCCTGCAGTCCACAATGGTGACGTAACTACGTGGTGTGTCAGTGCAGTAGTGGCACAAAAGATGGGACAGCAACCAACCAGTATCTGAGTAAACGTAAGGCCCTTTCCATGAGAGGAAACCCTACTTGTTACTGTGTGAGTGATAGGCCAGGAATCTAAAGCAAACCGAATACTACTGTTCCTGCTGAAGGAACATAGCAATAACATGACTCCTAGCAACATTCTGCTGTAACCATAGATCAGTGTCTAGTTCAGCCACCATCAGAGACGCCTCCTTCTATAGGAGAAGGAGACTAATACAGAGACACACAACTAGAAAATGTGCAGAGAGTAAGAGACTTCAGAACACTTGGTCCTAAGTGGCATGTCTTCATCAAACCTCTCCACTCAGGGTTTGGGAAAATATCTGGAAGAGGAGGGGAAAGATTTTAAGAACTCGAGGGAACGAATGACTCCCTGGAAACAGAGTCTTCCAGACACAACAGGATTGACCACATAAGAACGTGCACAGGCTGTGGCAGTATGCAGAGTTTCTACACAGCTCCAAGTCAGATGGGTCCCAACACTGAGAGAGGGAAGTGGACAGAAGAACACATTTCTAAGAAGCTTTCTTCAGTTGACAATCTCTAACAAAGGAAAAATTGGCTTTCTCCCATGGAGCCTCACTGATACAAACACATATAATGGCAGCTTCCATGTCTAGCAGTAAATGGCCACACGAAACAAACTCAGTGGTATTTTTAGAGATTCTTTGCCTCAGATGTTTTGTTTGGGCTTTTTTTTTTTTTAATCTTATTGGTCTTTTGCTTGTATAATATGGTTTAGGGTTTTATGTTCTATCTGGGAGGAGACAAGGGAGAGGAAACAGTGACAGGAAGCTGTTGTGTGAAAACAATATTTTCAATAAAACAGGCTTTGCTTATCACTAACACTCACTTTAGACAGACACACCTCACCACACTGACTCAGTCATTAATTCTTTCCAAAGCAAGCCGTTCGTATCCACTGTGGTCTTCCCCACTCGTAACCTGAGGCTGTTTCCACAATAGACCCAGCAAGACCCTTCTTAGCTCCAAGGATAGCCATCACTGAACAATAGGAAGCATGTGTAGATGACTGTCAACAAGAAATCACCATGAAACCACCTTCTCTCTCCAGACTCCAATGGCAGATCATGCAAGAGGAAGTGCTAGAGCGCCCACTCCCTCTCCTTCCTCTTGCGGCGCTTTCCTGTCTCCTCTGGGATTTTTAAAAGCAGTAAGAGAAGTTGGATGGTTCCACATTGAGACTTTAATCATATGTACTTATATTTACATGCCATATAAGCTTGGTGGCCCGTAGTTTATCATTTCAAATGTACAGATCAGCACACAGTGGTGCAAGGTTTAGAAGCAGCACTTCCCACACAGTGAAGAATGACAAATGTCAGGGCTGGACCCACAATGCTGATACCTGTAGTTCTACAGCTAAAGAGCACCACCACTGCCTATCATGAAGTGCCCAGAAAACAGAAAATCAGTTACTAAATGTCCCATTCATTCCCATAATGTGACGAGCGCCATGGTCCTTCTACTATACACATCCGCACTGAGCCTTATTGCCCACAATAATACAAATATAGACTCAAATATCATTCAGTCAAACCCAATGCTTACTATGGTTAATAAATATATACATATATATACAATCCGATTAGCTCCACAGCGAGAAATGTATTTCGGTCCGAAAATCAGCAGTAAGTCAACATACTTAAAAAATATGCACTACGACTTTAAAAATATGTGCACTCGCATGCTGTCATGCTGAAGGCTACAGGCGCGCACGTGGCCAGACTTAGACATGAAATATCGAGTCCTTTTGGGAGCATAAACACCCATCATGGCTAGTTGCTCAGGAAGGCGAAGGAGCCGGGTCTCTCAGCACGGCCAGCTGTAGACTGGCTGTCTCTCACACTCACACATCTGGGAGATTCTGTAAGATCTGTCTCAAGGAAGCACAGGCAACCACATGGGCATCCGACGGGAGGTTAGCAAGTGACTGGATCAACTTCTTCACTATGGTCTTCAGACACTGGTGCGCGGCATTCAAGTCTCTGTCGAACTGTTGTCCTTCAATCTGGAGAGCCAGGTGACTACAGATGTTTCGGAACTCAACACTGTCCTGAAATGAACAGCAAACAGGCGGGACATTAGATCGATGGTTTCTCAAAGAACTACCCTCTCTTAGTTATAGGAGGGTGGTTTGACCAAAACTGACCCAACCCCACCTCCCGATCCATGAGATTGCACGGCGCCCAGACAAATGAACTGATCAGTGATGAGCAGAGGGACAACCCAGTCAAGTGACCTGGTCAGGCACAGGTGACCAATGAATGTCACTGGTCCCACTGCTACTGGACCAGAAGAGAGAAACTCTCTTTGATTGGGATTACTTGGGAACATTTTGTAACCTTTAGGACAAAGTACTAAGGAAGATGTCTCCAAAGCGAAAAGGTTCTAGATGAAAGAGATTAAAAGTGACTGACTCTAATACCTTTCTTGACTATGTGGACCCAGCTACACTCGAACAGGGATCTCCAGGATCGCTCATCTAGCTGAGTTAATGAACAGCCATTTTTACTGTAGCTAGCTGAAGCCCAATTTCTGCTATTGTTCCTGAAAGAGCTGTGACAAATACACAAACAGCCTGTCTTCTTACTGTTTGGTGTTTACCATGCTCAAGATTCTACTGTAGGGTTTACAATGCAATGGACATGGCCTCCAGAAATGGCCAGTCTGGGCTTCACAGAGAGACCCCTAAGAGCCCAAACTGGTAGATCATGCAACAAAATAAGTCATGCAGCATAAACTATACAGATTGGAAAAGACTGGTTTGAATCAATGGAAAAAAATCAAACAGACGCTGTCTGAAACACATAGGGAATGTTTTGTGGAATTAGATGCCAGCGTGTCATCAAGGGACATATCGTAACACATCTGGAAGTCTGTGTCATACCAAAATCACAGTTCAAGCCGAGAGAAATCAGTGGGGCAGCTTATCTTCTCAAACACATGTGACTTTAAAAAGCACTTCTAAATAATTCATAGGTTTAAACCCCCCCAAAAAAAAAGAACTTTGAAAATACTCTATGTATATCAGGCACAGTAACACTATCAAAATTGTGGAAAGGAGAATGATATGAAGACTTACATGCCTATATGCAAAAGAAAAAAATGACAGAACATTCCTAAGCGAAGAATTAAACCCAACAGTTTGGTGGAGAAAGCATAAAATGTCACCCCCCCCACCAATGGAAAAAAGGGCTGAGAGTTAATGGCAAGGTTAGGGAGTGGGTGACTTGAATGAGAATGGCCCCTAAGATCATATAATGGAAAGCCTGGTCCCTAGTCGGTGGAACTGTTTGGGAAGGATGAGGAGGTGTGGCTTTGTTGGAAGTGTGTCACTGGGGGTGGGCTTTGAGGTTTCACAAGCCCACACCATTTCCAGTTAGGTCTTCTTCTCTCTGCCTCATCATTGCCTCAACGTGTAAGCTCTCGGTTACTGCTCCAGCACCATGCCTGCCTGCCTGCTGCAATGCTCCCTACTGTGGTGGTCATGGACTCACCCCTAAATGTAAGTCCCCAGTAAATTCTTTCTTTTATAAAAAGAATTCTGGTATAAATTTTATAAAAAGAAAGCATGGTAACTCTGCTTAGTCACTAAGAGAATGAGGGGCCAACGTTTCTTCCTAATGCTGTATAGAAGAGAAAACTATTTTCTTCCAAAGAGAGCACTTAAGAAAGAAGGATTTGGGTTTCTGCTTACTTTTCAGCATTTCCTAAGAAACAAAACAAGTAAAATTTATGGCAGTGCAAAAAGCCAATGTGAGAGCCTCTAGCTGAGGCAGGAGAGTGTACTGTTGTCCCTGGATGCCAGTATGCACAAACACAGCACTTGTCTTAATTATCTGCTAAGTATTTTTGCCTTTCTACCTCCATGTGTTTCTTGTCTCTGCCCAGAAGGTGCCAGGGTCTTCCAGGATCATCTTCCTACAGTTGATGGGGCAACCCACACTGCAGAATCATATTGCTTAGAATAAGAAAGTCACCATGGGCTGTTTCCCCTAAATTTTCATCAAGGGAAACTGTCCAGTTGCTCTTCAGAAGGAATCCAATCTATGTACAAAGTGGAAGGATCAAAGAAGACATGCTATGGGAATGGCCGAGACCTGTGCTGATGTGTCCCTGTTCACCCCAACCAAGATTAAAATGCCTTGGGCTGGAGAGATGGCTCAGTGGTTAAGAGCATTGCCTGCTCTTCCAAAGGTGCTGAGTTCAATTCCAGGCAAACAAATGGTGGCTCACAACCATCTGTAATAAGGTCTAGTGCCCTATTCTGGCCTGCAGATATACAGACAGACAGAAAATTGTATACATAATAAATAAATATTTAAAAAACAAGAATAAAATGCCTTAAAAAATAAACCCAGCTGGGCGGTGTTGGCACACGCCTTTAATCCCAGCACTCTGTAAGTTCGCAGGCAGCCTAGTCTACAGAGGGAGTTCCAGGACAGCCAGAACTGTTGCAAAAAAAAAAAAAAAAAAAAAAAAAAAAAAAAAAAAAAAAAAAAAAAAAAAAAAAAAAAAAAAAAAAAAAAAAAAAAAAAAAAAAAAAAAAAAAAAAAAAAAAACCCAAGAATAAATGAAAAGAAAAAAAATAGAAGATAAACCCATGGGCCTGAAAGCTGAAATTGACTGCACATTTACTTATGTAAAGACTCAAAAAGGGCATCTTTGGGGGAAATTTAAAAAGTCTATAGTTGGTTTCCAAGGGCCTGGGTAAACTGCAGGCTTATGGTGAGCTTTGCAAGGTCGCTCTTATTTTATTATCTTAGTATAGTCTTTCCTTATAGTCCTTTCTAAAATACAGTAACAGTCAATGAAGACAAATGATTAGGAGTTGGCTTCCCACGTGACTTCTACTCTGACTGGGGGTTGGAGATGGTGGAATACAACAGGTGATTTCTTCCTTTCTAGGACTAAGCGCCAACACTGAATACACCAATCACTGTCTTCAATCAGCTTAGCGCTGCTCCTGCTGGGGAAGACTGGGATCCCAAGACACAAGGTCAAGGCTCATTAAATGCTTTGTGGTTTTCAGTAGAAACACACAAGATCAATACTGGCCATGATCTCACTCTCGGTGTGTTCCGCTCGATGACAAACCGTAGTCTCCCGTGACTGTTACACGGGAAGTCCCAGGCGCTCCCAGAAATGATGTAATATCCTGCAGCGCTTTGAGCGCTTTGCCAGAGTCAGAACCAGACACCCGAGCCACCGAAAACAGTTTGGGGAGCATCTAAAGTGCTTTGTAATTCAGACTCTGCCTATGAAATGCGTTGACGGCTACAGCGGTCCAAACTGAGGGCACCACGGTAGAGATTCCCCTCCCATGTCCTAACTAAATCTAACCCTGTTTAACTCAGCTAATAAAGCAGCATATTTATTTTAAATGTGCATCAAGCTATGTGACGTGACTACACTGGAGAAAGTCACGGAGACATGTTTCCCCGTCTCTGAAGAACCAACAAAGCAGCGAGGAAAACGGGCACGCGAGCATCTGTCCAAACATCCAATGAAAACTGAGAAGCTCCATAGTGAGAGGAGGAAGCCCTGGGTGAGTGTGTATTTTGACACGGGCATGGCCCACAACACACCACACACACACACAACATACACCACACACACATGCAATAGTTCAGCGGGAAAGGAAGATATTTGGGTTCACTGGCCTCAGTTTTCCCAGAGGATGAGAAAGATATAGATAAAGACTGGAAAATGGTAGAATGTGCTTAGGACCTTACGTCACCTTTAGAAATGCCTAAAGGATTACCGAGTATGAGTGGCCACTGTACCGAACAAAACACCACAATCTCAGTGCCGGTGGCATTAGGGTTCTTGTTCCTGAGAACATCACCCCTAACCTGACTCACACCGAAACCCAGCCACCAGTGGCTGATCTCTCTAGTATTCTAGGCTGCCAAGCAGTCCTTTTCCCTTCTCGGTCCCAAGTGTCCAGAATCACTTTTGTCCTTCTTCCAAACTGAACCTCACTGCTGCCAGCTGCATTGATGCTCGTGGTTTAGATTACACAGCCTCCCCCCCCCCAACCCCCAGCATCTCCCAATGTGGAAAGCACACAGTGAGAGAGAGAGAGAGAGAGAGAGAGAGAGAGAGAGAGAGAGAGAGAGAGAGAGAGAGAGAGAGAGAAAGTTGCTTCCCCCAAGCAGCCTTCATACATTACCTTAGGCAACACGTATCCTTCATTCAGCTTCTCTAGCTGCTGGCCTGTCTGTGTCCTGAGTATCTGACATCACACTGTAGTTGAGACTTATTCTTACTTACAAATGCCTGACCTTAGCTTGGCTTGTTTCTAGTCAGCTTTTCTAACTTAAATTATCCCGTTTCTCTTTAACTACCTCTTGCCTCTGAGCTTTTTAACTTTCTTTATTCTATATATCTTACTTTCCTTCTTAGCTCATGGTTGGCTGGGTGGCTGGGTGGCTGGGTGGCTGGCTGGCTGGGTGGCTGGGTGGCTGGGTGGCTGGCCCCTGGCATCCTCTCCTCTCCTTTTCTCATTCTTCCTCCTCTCTCTCTCTTCCCTAGATTTTTTCCTGTTTATTTATTCTCTCTGTGGGCCAGCCCTGCCTATTTCTCTCCCCAGCCTAACTATTGGCCATTCCATTCAGTTCTTTAATTGACCAATCAGGTAACGGTCAGAGAGCTGGCTGAGAGGATTGGAGCTTGGAGCGCCGGCCGCAGAGCCCGAGGTCGCCGCCGGTTTGAGTCCCAGGTAAGTCTGTTGTGTTGTAATGTGTCTGTGTGCTGTGTGTGACTGTAACTGTGTATGAGTGTCTCTGTGCTGTGTGTGAATGACGTCTGCATGCATAATCAATCGAAAAAAAAAATTTGACCAGTCAGGTAGGTGTTTTAGACAGGCAAAGTAACCCAGCTTTACAGAGCTAAACAAAAGCAACATATAGGAATGCAACACATTTTGCATCATCAAAACAAATATTCCACAGCATAAACAAATATAACACATCTTAAACTAATATTCCACAACACACTGCTACGGGCTTGAAGATGAACAACACCCCTGGCTTCTGTTTAGATTGCTCTGCCATGAATGGCTCAACTTGAGTTAGGGCTGTACAGCTTTTAGCGGGTGGGGCCTTTGTGGTGGAGGTAGGCTTTTGAAGACTAAAGACCATCCCTAACCCTCACCTACACATCCTGCTCCTTGCTTACAAGTCCCCATGATGTCCGACCACCAAGAAGCAGTTCCACCATGCTTTCTTTCCCCCAGAGGATGGACCAACATCTCTTTGCGACTGTAAGCCAAAAATAAATCTCTCACTGGGGAAATAATTCAGTGGGTGAGTTACTTACTGCCTGGCACGTGTGGGGTCCTGGGTTTACTCCCCAGTGTCATCAAAGAGTAAAAGAGGTAAAGGCTAAACCAAAATAAACTCCTCCTCTTTTAAGTTATTTCCATTAGACTTTTGGTCACAGTGACCAAAAGCTACTAATACCCATATGTATTTCTAACATGTTTTTAATATTACATGGCACTTGAAATTTCATCAGTGCTGAGATACACATTCTTTCACATTTTAAGCTCAATGAAATCAGTATGTAATTCACAACCAATGCTAGTCACACACTGGCAGAATTTAAACTTTTTCTTGGGGGGGAGGAAGAGAGAGACACCCCTGCATCAGACACTGCTTGGTGATGTTTGATTTGAATTTCTTACAACCTATGATGATGATGCAACTTAATATAGTGCGCGTTTTCCAAACTTTGGCTCCTAGAGTAAGAACAGCATCAACCCTTAAGGAATGCACCAAGCTCTCTTCAACACCCCGTCTCCTCTGGACTCCTAAGTGACGGACAAGATGACGCTCCTGGCCACAACTTGAGAGCCAGCAGGTCCCAAAAAGGTGTGACCTTAAGACAATATCCTAGTTTGCTTTCTATGGCTGTGATAAACACCATGACCAAAAGCAGCCTGAGAAGGAAAGGGTTTATTTCAGTTAACAGTTTATAGCTCCTCACAAAAAAGTCAGGACAGGAACTGGAGGCAGGAACTGAAGCAGAGGGCAAGGAGGAACCATGGTTACTGGCTTGCTCCCTATGGCTTGTTATACAACCCAGGACCAGATGCCCAAGGGTAGCGCTGCCCAGTGAGTTACGAGCTCTTCCCCCACTCCTATCTCACATCCATCATTAGGTCAGAAAATGCCCCCCCTCCCCAGATTTGCCTACAGTCAATCTGACCGAGGCATTTTCTCTGTTGAAGCCTGCTCTTCTCTGATGACCCTCGCTTGTGTCAAGTTAATAAAAATCTAACAAGCACAATTAGGTTAGGCCAGGACTGGACCCCAAAACCCTAGACCCCAACCTACCTCAGATCTCTTCCCAGTTCTGCCCCATACATATTCAGCAGGGGTCCCTGTTACTATCAGCAGGCCTGTCAACATCTGGGGCCCCCTGCCCTCAGCACACTTTAAGAGGATTTAGGTTCTCCATCAGGTCTCTGCACTCCGTGAGGAACTGGATTTATGCAAAATAACTGTGATTCACCAGTGTGCAGGAACTTTAAACGCGGGTGATGCCTTCATAATCCATGCAGCTAGGGACGTAAAGAGTACTTAAGGTTATCCTCTTGGAGGAGGAAGTAGGGGCAGATGACTTCCACAGGTAGAAAAAATGATCTATGTGACAAGTAGATCTTGACAAGACTTCTTCCTCTTTATTCCGCACTCCACCTCTACACACATGTACACACACACACACACACACACACACACACACACACACACAAGTCCTGGTCCAGGTCTAGGTCTAGTTCCTCAATCAGACAGACCCCAGGTGGTTGGTTCTCAAGCTCTCTGTCCCATATGCCAGTCCCCAATGCTTATCTCCTTTTGTGTCCCCCCTTCCCCGCCCACGGCAGGTTGACCACACCCTGCTCCACTCTATCCAGCCACTGCAGGCCAAGAGGACAGCAGGACAGACTCACTCACCTTCAGGTGGATGGGGAAGGGCCTCTCCTGCTGAAGAGGCCCAAGCAGAGTCTGCTCTACGCTGACCAGCTCCGAGGTCGAGTCCACCACGCGGGCCAGCGCGCTGCGCATCGCCATCCGAGCCAGGGTGCAGGGCCCGCGGTCCCGGGGGAAGGGCAGCAGCTCAGCGCCCCCCTCTGCGCCCCGCAGCCCGCCTGCTTCGGGGGAGCTCCGCGCTCCGGCGACCCCGCGTCCCAACCCCCGCCGAGTCCGCATCTGGCCTGGGCGACGAGCTTGGGCGACGGGCACGTGGTCCGGGCCGCGTGGGCTTCCGGGGGCGCTAGGGCCGTCACCCCAACCCCACTCCTGCTGGAGTAGCTGCAGGGTCTGCAGAGCCACCATTTGGTGACTGATGGAAGCCACTAAGGGCGCGGGGCTGGCCATGGCCGGCTGGCAGCTGGGCGCAGACGAGCAGGTGGAGCGCAGGAGAGGGAGCCTGGCGGCGTTCGGGGTCGCAGGGTCACATTTTCCTAACTCCCGGCTCTCCCCCGGCCTCCGCGTCCCTCAGCGTGTGTGGCCCGCCCCGCCCCCGGCCCGCAGGTGGTGACCCGAACTTGCCCCTGCATTCAGTTCCAGGCAGAATGGGCTCAAAATGACCCAAAGCTGCCAGAAGCCTGCTCCTCCGTGAGCGCTTGAACATCAGCCAGATGCTGAGCTCTGGTTCTTCCGCCTCTCGGGGCTTTGGTGGGGAAACGCGCGGCTTTGTGCGGATGTATCTATCCCCAGATACCCCGCCCCCTTCTTCCCTGAAGGACGCCAGTCAAGGACCGCTTAAGGCAGGGGAGGCCCCAGGTCTGGGGTGTCATCGGGATCCAAAGTGCCCAGAGCTCCGCAAAACACATAAAGGACATTGGTGGATTCCCCTTCCTTTTCTGGGGGCGTTTTCGGAAACTCTGTAAAATAGCTTTGCGGACGTCCAAACAAAAAGACGTGGACAGCAAGTCTTTAAAGTTCATCCCTTATTGCTTGGTTCCCCGCTGGTCCTGACATCCCAGATGTAGAAATGGTATCAAGGAAGAGTTGGCACTACTTGCTCCTGAACCCAAACCTGGCACTGCCCAAATGAGGAGCTTGACTGTTTTGTGTGAAAGGACTCAGGCAGCAAGGTCAAAGGTCAGTCCTCTTCCAGAGCATGAACCTCAGGACAGCTGTATAAATACTCATTTTTAATCACACCAAACATGGCTGTCTCCTTTAAGTAATGTGAAAGGACTCAGTCGTAAGTGGTTTGGGTTCCTGTGTGTGAGTGGAGGGTGGGAGTGTGGTTTGGTTGTTTTTTTTTTTTTTAAAGGCCTTTGGAGGGAGTAGTAGGGAGAACTATCCCAGAGAGCATCTTTTTTTCTGCTTTCGTCTTGTAAGAAGAATCCAGTGATCCAGCCCAGCAGAGGCAGGGGCACAGCGGAGGAGTGAAGAGTCAAGGGCAAGCTAGAGGCCCAGGCAGATGGAGGGCGTGTCCTGTGGAGTCAGTTCTGGAAGCTCTCTGAATGGAAAAGCCCTCGCTCTGGTGCTGTGGTGCTGTCGGCACAGACGAGTGAGCATTAAGAGATATGGAGTCCATTAAGATCTCACTGACTCCGGGGTAGCTGACCCTGTGCAATCCTCCCCGCCCTCCAACAAAGGTTCTTGGAAAGCTCAGTTTCCTTCCCCTCTGAAAAACAATCTAAATAAACAAAAACCAATCGTGTTACGGTAAATTATATCTAGGTAAAAAAATGCTAATCTGCAGCCACAGAGGAAATGACTTTGGTGAGAAGCAGTTTGTTATTGATTAGTTTACCTTGCCATAAAGTTACTTAAGTTCATCCACGGAAATACAGAAATTCTCCCGAATTCTGTATTTACTGTTTAAATCTTCAGATGCGAAGCACATTCGGCAAAGATGAAACAGGGAGACGCACAAACCACCACTGTTTGCAGAAAACATGCCAGGTCTCCAGGATTTCATGAACTAAGCCCTCTACAAACGTCTCCTGACCAAGGGCATTCCAGTCAGCAGGACAGGGATCCCCAAGCAGAGCAGGGTCTGAGCCCTCCTCTTCTGTGAGCCACACTGGTTCTGAGAGCCATGAGACAACTGACCTTCAGGAAGAAGGTGAGATGAGGGCCAGAAAAACACAGGGCATGAGGGGCGAAAGTGCCTACCGAGAGATGGCCTGGTGCTCTTCCAGCAAAGCTCCCCATCTATCCATCCGTGAGTCACATTTGTGTTCCGTGTGATCTCAACATGGCTTTTGGTCCAAAGCTGGAGACCAAAGACCATAAGGGAAAGTCTTCATGGGGAATTGACATGAATTAAGAGTATTAGCAGGTCTCTCCTTGCTCTAAAGCATCTGCAAGAGTTGACTCTGCTGGGCCACCAGACCAAGCACACTCCCACACCCATCGTGTACCCAGTCTGAAACTCTGGAAGAAGTGCTCAGTCAAATAATGCTGTGTATTCAGTATTTTTGCTTAGGTACCTATCTGAGTATTTCATGGAGCCCATGTTCTCATTGCTCAGTGGACGTGCTTCATCTTCCATGTTCAGCCCAAGGGTTTGATAAGGTAAACTGAGCCAAGTTGTAGAAGAAAGAGATTTGGGTCATCCAGGCTGCAGTCAATTACAGCCACCTTCCCAAGGTCAGGAACCACTTAAAATGTTTTCCATTGGGTGTACTGTAAAAGATAAAACCACGGAGCTTGATAGTACAGGCCAGGAGATCACACAAGCAACAAAGAGCACTTCTTCTTTCAGTAAGGAAGTATAACACACAAGAATTTAATTGACAAGAATGTATTGTCCTGCATAATAAGAATTCTGAAGGTGGCTTTCACGTTGCTCAATACTAGAGTTCTGAGATGTCATCAAACCCTTGGTTCCTTCCATCTTTTTGAGAGCACATCTGCTTTATCTTTTGTTCTTGGTCCTTGGGTTACTTCCCCTCTAGCCACCAAATAGTGACAATGGCTCCTTGCCTTGCCTCTGGACAACAATCTTTAAACCAAGAGATTATCTCTTCTTCAGTATCCCTTCTCAAGTTCAGGGAGATGCCTCATAAAAAGCTACACATGTCCTTCATCTATGTCTTAACTGAAATTGAAGAACATATCTTTGTCAAGGCCATCATAATCGAGAGGAAAGGGGCCAAGATAAGAATGAACCAAAATTCAGTCCTGAAGCATACACTCATAATGTGGATGGTGAATATTCAGTAGGAATCTGGGTTCTGTTACCAAGCAACAGCAGCGGCAACCAAATACCAGGAAGCTTTTGCAGTGGCCCTGAGGAAAGGACATATCCGATCTCCAGGGTCTCTCCTATTTCCAGGTACACAGGAAGCCAAGTATCATAAGGCTAATCTTTCCACTACAGAGTGGTTGACTATGATGTGCCTTGTGCAAGAGACACTTAGGCGATATGTGTTGTGGAGCCTCTGCAGCAACCTTGTGAGTTTGCGGGGACAGCCTGCCTATGAATAACTCAGCACCAAAGAGAGAAAAGCCAAAACGTCTGGAGAGAAAATACCAGAGTCCTTGTAGTAGCGCCATTTGCATCCTGCACAGAGCAGCTCATAAAGACAGCCCCACCCCTGAGGAGTTGGGTTACAGAAGACAATAAAGTATCTTTTTTATTTGGCCCATTTGGGGTTTAATTTATTAGAACAGAAGGAATCATGATGGAAACAAACAACATAACATAACACTGAAAAAGTGCCAGGCCAGTTTCACTGACCCCGTGAGCCAGCACCCCTTTAACTAAACACTGCTGTGTCGGTTCAATCAACCACCTCTGCAGGAGTTTAGTCATCCCCTGACCTGTGCAGGTTAAAGCTCTCGGGGCAACTCCCATCTTCCCCATAACACATGAGGACCTTTTAACTGATCACCAGAATCGCTAAGACTCTTATGAATGAGCAATGAGAATAAAGGGGGCTAAAAAGCTCAGTGAGTGAGAAACCCTGCTCCACCTGTCAATGGACAGGGAGGTTATTACTACATGGGCAGGGGTTCACAGACTCCTTTCCCGCATGAGCCAACCATGCCAGTGTTCATGCAGGATGTTTGAGAAGCTGGGCTCAGGAAGGGTCAAAGGGAACAGGTGTGCAATCACCCTCAAAGGACTCAGCAGAGCCCAGATACATGTGAGCCCTGCTTATATATACTCTTTGGCACTTTTCTTCAAAGGGGATCCAAGAGAGTTCCAGAGCTAGCCATTAACTTTCAATGCACCCTGAGCAAGTTCAGAGTGGGGCAAAACAAAATATGTCCTAAGAGGCCAAAATGTTGCTCTTCTTGAATAAAAACCACAGAAGAGGGCCACATCAGAGAAGTAGATGCTGAAGAGACAAACCAAGATATGAAAAGGTACGGAGGAACAATCAAACAGGAAAAAGGTACAGGCGGAAGAAGACAAAGCAAGAAAGACTGAGTTCCCTTTGCAAACATGTAACCATAGTGTATGAAGACTTCAGGTCATAAACGTGCACAAGAAGTTCTGACTTAGCCTAAACATTTGATTTTCAGTAAAGACAGAGAGAGGGATGCAATCCTGCCACAAAACTACTAAAATACGAAGAACAGTCTTTACACAGGGCAATGTGCTTTCAGAACATCGTGCCTTCTCAGATTATCTTTCAGATTTTTTTCCAGAACACTGCCTTCTCAGATTCTTTTAGGTTAATCACTTGGTGAATCTGGGTAAAGAAAAAGGCAAGAGTGGGTGAAGAAAGCATCATGACTTGGTATGAAGTGTCTCCCAAAAGGCTCATGTGTCAGAGGCGTGGTCCCCAGCTGATGCAGCCAGTCATTGAGAGAGGGCTTTAGATGGAGAGCATTTTGCCCTTCTCAGGGATTCATCGACCAATTCATAATGAAGTATTGGAAGATGGAGGATACTGTTGAAGATGAAGATGGAGTCACCGAGGGCATATTCTAGGGGTAATAGAGAGTCCCTGGCCTGTCTCTGCCTTAACCCCCGCCTCTCTGCTTCCTATCCACGCTGAGGCAAGCAGCTTTGCTCTACATCATGTACTGTGATGTTTGACCTCATCGCAGGCCCCAGACCTGGCTGTGTGCTTTTATCATAACAAAACAGAGAGGGAAAGGAAAGTTTAGAAACGATGAGTGCCACCCATAAGACCGGACATGATTTGCTCCGCCATGCTCCGCCTTTTCAATACAAAATGCAAGGCTTTCCAAGTATAGAAAATATTTCACTTGGTTCACTTTGTTTAATTAACCCAATCCTAGATTTGTGGAAGGGAAGCATTTCTTTCTGTGTAGCCCAGGATGGACTTGCACCCACGATCCTCCGGCCCTAGCCTCGGAGTGCTTGGACTGCAGACGGGCACCGCCTCTCTCGCTGTGTTCTCACACTTTATCCTAGGAAGAGTTTTTGATGTCGGAAGAGAAAAGAAGCAAGCTTTAGGAGTACACTCGACTTTTTGAATTGTTGGAGCTTTGCCGGCGAGAGGGTTTTTAAGAATAAGAGCTTGCATGCCACCTCCAGGAGACTTCAACAGAGCAGACCGGCCAGTGTTACCCCCAGAGGACATCTCTTCCCTCTGCGGGGAAAATAAAGGGCTTCTGTGTATCCTAAATCATTTTGATTATGTCTATAGATACAGGTTATGTGTTGAAATGGGGAAAATTAAAGATAAAAATGGGCAAATGGTCTGTCAAAGTGGCACATGCAACAACCCCAGAACCCTAAAGGTAGGAGGAGGACCCGCTTGTTC